CTTCAAGATGAAACCATGTCGCCTTTTCCAGGGTTCACTGAACGACAGCGAGACCACGGTGCTTCAACGGCCGCACAAGTGCAGAGCCAAGCTCCAGTAAGAATATCTGAATGAATTTGGCCATCATTAACTCTTCTTGAAAAGTCGGGATGCAAAAATAGCCGAGCAAGCCAAAAGGTTATGACGATTGTGAACAACGTTACCTGCATCAGGTGTTCGACGAAACGCAATTGTCAAACATTCGTGAGAGAATGTTGCCACCGAACACTACGGCTAGCCTCCAAGCCACATGACGCCTGTATAATTGCGTCGTTTAAGGCCAAGGTGAAACAGATACAGCTCCTAAATGCGTAAGACTAGAGCAATTCGGTGATGGCTGGACGACATGATCAATTGCACCCGGTACCGCTTCTCGTGGCGAGCAGATGGGCGCCAGATATGTGGCGTTCTATGTCGTAGTCGACTGATACAAACTGTTGAGCCCGAACGAGTATCTTGGATAATGCGCTTGGAGCTCTCATTGCAGAATGTCCCAATTGCATGTATATAATCTCGAATAACTTGATTGCTTTGACGATCTGTTTTTTTTATATTATGTAAAACTTCAACTTGTTCATCTTCTGCAGTTTAGCCAGGGGGAATCAGTACTTAAGGGGTGTATGGATATTAGTTGGTACTCTTGTCAACGCCGAGTGCGCCCGCGACGAGGCCATCTTCCCCGCCGACCATGCTCTACGACATGTACCAACTCGAGGCCAGCGACGTCGTTGTGTCGTGCACGGATGGCATCACCAACAACTTGTACGCGAACGAGATCGTCGAGACGATCCAAGTCGTGTCCAAGTACAAACCCAACTACCAACCCACGCTGTTTCCAATGGAATGGCTCTTTCTCAAGGATGACGTTCAACTCTTTCGCCAAGGCAACGACTTCGTCGGTGATGTGTGCACTAAAGTCATCCCATGAATCAAAACGGTTACACTAGAATTCAAGTGCCTATGTCATTATTG